TCTGCAAATAGTGAGAGTTTGACTTCTTCCTTTCCAATTTGTATTCCCTTGATCTCCTTTTGTTGTCTTATTGCTCTGACTAGGACTTCAAGGACAATATTGAAGAGGTATGGAGAGAGTGGACAGCCTTGTCTTGTCCCCTTTTTAGAGTAATTGCATCGAGTTTCTCTCCATTTAATTTGACATTGGCTGTTGGCTTGCTGTATATTGCTTTTATTATGTTGAGGTATGTTCCTGTTATCCCTGATATCTACAAGACCTTTAATCATGAAGGGGTGTTGGATTTTGTCAAAGGCTTTTTCGGCATCTAGTGAGATGATCATGTGGGGTTTTTTTTTCCTCAGTCTGTTTATATGGTGGATTACATTGATTGATTTTCGTATGCTGAACTATCCTTGCATGCCTGGGATGAACCCTACTTGATCATGGTGGATGATTTCTCTGATATGATCTTGTAATCAATTTGCCAGGATTTTATTGAGAATTTTTGCATCAATGTTCATGAGGGATATTCGTCTGTAGTTCTCTTTCTTAGTTGTGTCTTTGTGTGGCTTGGGTATCAAGGTTATTGCAGCCTCTTAAAAAGAGTTTGGCAATGTCCCTTCTGCTTCTATTTTGTGGAACAATTTGAGGAGTATTGGTATTAGCACTTCTTTGAATTTCTGGTAGAATTCTGCAGTGAATCCATCTGGCCCTGAGCTTTTTTTTGTTTGGGAGACTTTTGATGACTGCTTCTATTTCCTTAGAGGTTATAGGTCTGTTTAAGTTGCTTATCTGTTCTTGATTCAATTTTGGTTAGTGATAACTGTCCAGAAAATTGTCCATTTCCTTTAAATTTTCAAATTTTTTCAAAGTATGACCTGAAGATTGTCTGGATTTCCTCAGTGTCCGTTGTTATGTTCCCGTTTTCATTTCTGATTTTGTTAATTTGTATGATCTCTCTCTGCCTTTTGGTTAGTTTGGATAACGGTTTGTCTATATTGTTGCTTTTCTTGAAGAACCAACTCTCTGTTATATTGATTCTTTGAATTGTTTTCTATGTTTCGACTTTATTGATTTCCACCCTCAGTTTGATTATTTCCTGGCGTCTGCTCCTCTGGGTGAATTTGCTTCATTTTTTACCTCATCTTTACAGTAGGCAAACAGTTAATCATGATAATACCTACTGCCTCCACCAATCTTGTGCTTAGATTTCTGAAAAACTTTCTAAGGAATTAGTAAACAAATCAGAAAGATTAATTGGAGGTATGTTTTATTGCCATGGACTTTCTCACAGGGTCTTAACTGCCTTTAATAATTTATCAAAGGGAAATAGTAGAGATTTTGATGCTTTTCTTTCAGGATCCTCTGTTATCTCAAATTAGAATTCATGGAAGTAGTTATCTCTCTGATCATCCACTTACATGTCTTATGATATCAACGACAATACCATTCTCAGAGTAGATTTAAATATTTTGCTTTCCAGCTTAAAAAATTAACTGTTAAAACATAAAACTTGTGAGTGTTAAAGGATTACTATGTTATATTGGATGCAGGTGTTTTGGGTGTTTATGCTTATCTGTGGCTCATTTCTTTAACGTTACTCACTTTGTTTAGTTGGAGAATGATACAACCTCTGTCATCCAAGCCCCAAGGAACATTACTTGATGTTCTGTTCTTTCTCAAAATATCTCTGACTGTAAATCAGCTGACCTGATCCTCCCTCTAGATCTCAGAAAGTGGAGTCCCTTCATAGTAGCTTTGTACTTAGAACAATACTGTTTTGTTTTCAGGAACTTGCTAAAACAAAAATGTTAATTTACTTTTGCCTAAGCATCTTAGTTCTTTGTATTGGCCTCTTCCTTTCAGCCATCGGATATGCAAAGGAGTGACGTGAAAAGAAAACCATCACTCTTGTGTTGAACACTTTCCTATCCTAATCTGTGTTTCTTTCAGTTATTCCCTTGACAACTTGAGAAACACCACCAGCTGTAGTTCAGGAACCCACTGGACCCTCAAGATAGACTTAAGCTAGAACTCTGTTGGTTACTTACAGTTTTCCAGCCCTGCTCTGGCTATACTTCTCTGCCATTAATGTCAGTTCAGGACCAGGATCCAGCAACTCCTATGTGTTTGTTTCCTTTTTCAGTGCTTAGCTGTCTTGGTAAAAGAAGGTATATTCTTTTGGAGATGGTTATAATAAAGACTATAAATTTGGGTTAGTTTAGCAGGATTTTTGTTCAAGTAGATCTGTATTTTGCCTTATTCAAACATTCAGACTTGTAAGCTGAATCAGTTATAGGAACGTCATTAAATCAGATAAGAATTAGTAGACTATCTATTTACCTCCCTTTTTCATTTATTGTTCACTTGTTTTTATTTTATCACCTCTATTTAGTTGTTGTACATGTGTAGACATGCCAGGGCACATGTCAGGAGGTCAGGGGCCTCTGTTCTTTTCTTCTGCCATGTGGGTCCCAGGGATTGAATCAGCTTGACAGTCTTCTTAGCAAGTACCTTTACCCTCTGAGCTACCTCACTGGCCCTAATGACTTATTTTTGAGACAGGATCTTGCTATTGTGTCCCAGACTGTGTTCAAACTTGCCATCCTCCTGCCTCAACATCTTGAGTGCCATGGATAGAGGAATGCACCACCATGCCCAGCCTCCCACCTTGATCAACTAGCCAGAATTTTAGGTCTCTGTGAATCAGACCATTTTTATCAGTGTTTTGATTTTGTTATCCTTATGATAAACATAACTGTCTTGTCTTTGGTAATTAAGTTCTGTCATGTATGTCCCAGCTCCAGTTGTTCTTATTGCCTTTAAGGATCCCAGCTCAAGGATAACGTTGTTACTGGATTTAGTCAAAGATTGCCATTTCAGTGAAAGGAAGTTGTCACCAGTATCTGATGGTTCAAAGTGGTTAGGTGGACAGAAGGAAAAGTTTGTTCTATTTTACAATGCACTCTTTGGTTTATAAATATTTTTTTTTCATTTTTAATAGTCATGTAATAGGATTGACTTAGAAATAGATCCCAGAAGTTTTGTTCTTTTGAGTATTTCCCTACTTTGTTCATTTTTCATTTTAAAATCATTTTTACATTTTATCATGAGCAGATAAAAGTTGGAAATAGTTTTACTTTATTCAGTATTTTGTACTCTTTCTCATCCTGTGTGGTCAAATTGATTACATTACTTTCCCCTTATTTTGCTGATTTCCAAATTATTTAGTATGTTTTGAGCATGTGTACAATATTTATATGCTTAGTAACTGTCGAGCCTTTCTAAGCTGGAAAATATAAATGGAAACTAAATGAAGATTTAACGCAGATGATAATAATTTATAATCTTGTTCAGTAATTTGCCCCACACTGAATCAAAGTAATTAGAGTTTTCATTATCTAATAATTGCCTACTAATTGCTTTCAAGGGATTAGATCAATTTTTAATGGAAGCAGAATTATTTCACCTTGCCATAACATTTGTGGTGTCAATACTAATGATTTTCCTATTTCCCCTGTATAGTTAAAAATGTGATCTTGTTAATAGCAGTTCTTTATCAGTGATAAAATGACTGTTATTAAATTGACAAGAGTTGTTTCTTGTTTTTCATCTCACTAACAAATGATGCCAACAGGAATGTATAAGTATTGTCAATGTTAAGTCAAATAATTTACTACTCTGAATATATGACCCAATTTATTTTAGCTTCTCTGTTAAACCAACAGTTGATAATCTAGCAGACAACATCTCTAAATAGTAGGTCATATTAAAGCTTACTTTTTGAAATTAAGAGAATATGTATACATATATTTATTTTATTTTATTTTTCCTTACTTTATAGAGAAATGATGAAGAAGCAGTTGTGGATAGAGGTGGAACACGTTCTATACTCAAAACACATTTTGAGAAAGAAGATTTAGAAGGTGAGACATTGTTTTGGTGGAATGGTTGATATACTTTCCATAGGCATTTCAAAGAGAAATGTTACGTTTTCACTTATGGAAAATTGAAAATGCTGACATGAAAGCAATGATAGTGTGCTGGTGTGATTGTTCTGGTACGGCCTAGAATGCCAACAGGAAGACCTGAAAAGGGGGAGAGGCATTTGTTCATACACAGATATTTGTTTAATCCATTCAATATTCTAGAGACTTTTTGGTGCCATCTTTTTAAATTATCACTCTGCTGAGGATTTAAAATGAATTAGATAATGAAAAGAAAAAATAGATATTAATATCACAGGTGATATGCTAGGACAAGAAGAACTTGTTACCAGAGTAAGCTTTCAATAGAAGAAAATTAAGAGAATTAAGGACAGTTGATATTCTCTTATATTTTTGATTGTGAGCCTAGTCTTTAATAGCTGAGTCATCTCTCCAGTCCTAGGACAGTTGATATTCTATTCAGGTATCAGAAGGAAAAAGAAACTCCATTTCTATGTGCTCTCTTGAATGAGAAGGACTGCTAACACAGTGGACAACATAGTACATTTTAGTATACACACTCTAACAGCAGACTGCAGTAGGTTTGAATGACAGATCTGTCCCTTCAGTCTGTCCCTTCAGTAGCATAGGGCCATTAGTTAACTTTCTGCATCTCAATTCTCTCAATTTTTAGCATAGTGATAGCAATCTTAAGAATTTTTAGAAAATCAAGATACAGTAGTTCCAATAATACCTAGGAATAGGATAGCATAGTACTAGCAGTTATCAAAATGCAATTTAATGCTCATGCAGAATTAAATTCTATGTTTTGAATCTAACTTTTAAATTTTTTCATATCTTAGATATATGGTATATAATGTTTGTTATTTGAATGAGAGTAAAACCTAGGTAGTCTTAAGTATAGGTAATCAGAATTAATTATCCATTGAGTGTCATTCAATTTAAACATTAAATAGCAGAATGTTTTTCAATTTAAGCATTGAATATAAGCTTTTAAATTGCAATTAGTTTAATAGTTTTTGAGTCTCTAGTTGCAAGAATTCCATAGTACATTAGTTACTATAATAATTTTAAACAATTTTTATCAACACAGACATTGTTAATATACATTGTCTATTACAGATAATTTATATGGTATACAGAAAATAATATCCAGGTTCAAAAATGTCACACTTCTTAGATGAGCCTAGTGATTTGATATACCACACATTTTTATTGTATAAATTAAAGATTAAAAACCCTTGAAAATTGAAATTGTAATGTTTCATATAAAATAATTTTTCCTGGATTTGAGTACCAAATATATTACTGTTTTTCCCTTAGCATTCTCCATTTATTCAACTTTAACCATGTAAGGAGCATGTGTGGAGACACTGTTAGTCTTAAAAATAAGGTTTATCTTTCACAACCCATGTTGTTTAGGGCCTAAGTATAGTAATCTGTTTGATTCTAAGTATAGCAGAACCAGACAGAATAGGAAAAGTTACAGAGATGAAAATGGACTTTAAAACTTAAAATGAGACAATATAAATTTTCATTTCTTAAAGAACAAATTATAATAAGCACAGTGTATTGACTGTGGAAGAAGCAGTGAAGCAGTCTAACTTCAGTGAGGCAAATTATTTTAGAATCCCTAGGACAAAAGAAAAAGAGCTGAGAATCATCACAAATGTCATGCACTAAATACCTCACACACCTGTCTTTAAGGGTACTTGTGCTAGCCAGCCCATCACCATAAGGGACCAGATTCAGAGTCTATCAATGGAACACTCCCTGGGCACCACCCCATGATGATGTCTAGGGAAACGGCATCTCCTGAAGCAGTCTTTAAAAAAATTAAAAGAAAGCTAAAGTGTATTATGTTTATAGGATATTTTGTCTTTCCCACTGAAATTTTCTTTTTGTTTACTCTCTGAAGGTTGAAACAAAACAGAACCATCAGTTCAGATTCTTGAATTGTTCTTTCCTTACCTTTCTGTTAATATTGGCAAGAGTATTTGGGGGAGGGCTGTGTGATATTTTCCCCACATACACTGGCATGTTAACTGGGTATGTTATTCAGGTCTTGGGATTTCATGGGTGCAGATTTTCTGTCTTATATCGAAGACACAGTCTCTTAGCAGATGTCCTGAGCCTCTGGCTCTTACAGTCTTTCTGCTCCCTCTTCCCTGAGGTTCCCTGAGACTTATGTGTAGCCACCAGACATGGTGAGGATCCCAAAGAGTCACATGTGCTCTCACTTCCCTCCTCCTTCATTAAGGTCCTTCTAGTCTTCTGGCAGCTTACCTCAGACAGCCCTCTCTTCTCAGCCCATTCCCCTTCCTTTGGGACTCTCTGACCCAGCTATATTTTAAGGAATCCATTGTATTCCGTCAGGAGCAAACTGAAATACAATTTCACACTTAATCATTATGAATTCAGGAACAAGAAGCATTTGGTTTTATATGTAGTTCCATAAGTAGGTGCTGACTTTAAATTTAGAGGGTACAGTCACTGCTGTACCCACTGTAATATTATGGGTTGAGATTTTTCATGTGATTGGTTAGATATGTCTGTTTGCCTTTGATACATTTTATAGTAATGCTAAATTGGTCTTTGGTTTCAGAAAGTACATTGATCATGCTTGAAAAGTTATGCTTATCCTCCCTAAAAAACACAACAAGAAAGCCGACACAAAAAGAAATTAGCCTAGAAATATGTTCAATTTCATGGAAAAGCCATCTTGGATTTAAATACTGGCATGGATAAACCACAGATAGATAAATGAAAATTACTACTTAATAATTCACAAATAATTACAGAAAAATACTGAATTTTCCTTAGATATAAAATGCATTATTGAGAAATAATGTAATTGTTGTAATTTCAATATTACAAACATTTTCTATGCCAAACATTTTTAGAGAATATAGACTGATTAGTAAAAGAATTTTCGGGAATTGGCAGAACCCAATTGGATTGTTCTTTATTTGTAGCAAGCTTTCTTGTTGCACTATCTTTGGATTGCCAGCCCCTAAATAATGACAGAGACTTATGAATTATGTAAGTGTGGCTTTAGCTTAGGCTTTTTTCCAACTAGCTCTTACAACTTAAATTAACCCATCTCCTTTGCCACGTGGCTTGGTTACCTTTGTTCTGTACCTTACTTCCAACTTCTTCAGAGTCTCTGGCAAAATCTACAGCTTAGATTCCTGCTCCTAGTTTCTCTCTTTTTTTGCCCAGAAGTCCCACCTATTCTCTCCCACCTAGCTGTTGGCCATTTAGCTATTTATTAAACCAATCAGAAGGCACCTTAGTCAGAGACACATCTTTACAATGTCAACAAATATTCTGCAACATTTACTGGTGTCTATGAGTAGGCATTTTCATCCTAGAACAGTAGTTCTCAGATTTCCTAATGCTGCAACCCTTTAATACAGTTCCTCATGTTATGGTGACCCCCAGCTATAAGATTATTTTCATTGCTACTTCATATATGCAATTCTGATACTATAAGCAACTCCCAAATTGATTGAAACCCACAGGTTGAGAATCCCCATTTTAGAATGTAATGAATATAACTAGGTCATTTGTAAAAAAAATTACTCATAGACCCAGGTGTTGGTGGTGCACTCCTTTAATCCCAGCACTTGGGAGGCAGAGGCAGGTGGATCTCTGTGAGTTCGAGGCCAGCCTGGTCTCCAGAGCGAGTGCCAGGATAGGCTCCAAAGCTACACAGAGAAACCCTGTCTCGAAAAACCAAAAGAAAAAAAAATACTCATAGAAACAAAGATGATATTACATTAAAATTTTTAAAATATTTCTTTTCAATTTTAAACTAGAAAAAACATCTTATTTATATTGATTTACTTTTCTTATCCTCAGAACACACCAAAAGACAGGCACCTGTGCTGTTAGTACGTCTATAATTTACACCCAGGTTTATAAGATCTGGATGTAATGTCAAGGATGATTAGTTTAGGAGTAATTGGGAGAGTACCAGTGATGAAGGAGCAGCACTGAAGCTATAAAGGTAGAAGTTACTCCCTTTGTATAACAGAAAATAATACGACTTTAAGGAGCATATTTAGTGATGCAGATAATACAAAATAGATGTTTCCAATGGATAAGAGGTAGGACTGATATTAGAGACAAAGACATTTTATTAATAGAAATATTTTCAATTAAAATTCTCTATTTGAAAGTTGTTGTTTCCTAGGATTTATGTGTATCTTAGCTACTAGACCTACTAGCATAATTTAGCATTCTAAGTGCAGCTAGTAGAAATGCCAGGTGTTTAAAAATATCTTTGAAGTCTCAGGTACAATATATTTAGCAGAAAATAATCACCTTCTCAAAAACAACAGCTTGAAGTAATATATTGGTTACTTTATTCACATACATTATGCATTCTGATGAGTGACAACAATTGTATAATTTTTTTGCTCTCCAAACTCTTTTGTTTGTTTCACAGGTTTTATACCATTTTTGTCTTTTCTTTCATCTAAAACCAACAGCATACAATTTAGAAGTTTTACGTGTTTATTTTGTACATTATAATGTACATGTTAATAAGTTCTCTGAATTGATATTGGTGACATCTTTTCTATTCCCACTGATTTATTCCACCTGGTCAACTCCTATGTACTGCCTACTGTGTCTTTCCCACCATCCAGCCACCTTAACATACCAGCATGTCCTTTCTAGGCATTATTCTGCTTCCTGGGACAGTACCTAGTGAAGGATATCAAATATCTATAGTTAGAAAACCTTGAGATTGTGGTGAAGGCAAACCTCAATACAATTGAGATTAAGCATTTTTTACTTTTGGTCTTCCATGTCAGTGTGGGATTAGTACAATCTAAAGTGTGATTTACATTTAGAGAAAATACATTAAAACTTTGAAATTTATTTTAATTACCTTCTAACACATACATAGAATACCCAGTTAAATTTGAATTTTACATAACTACTCTATGAATGATAGATAATTTTAATAA